ATGTGTGTGTGTGTGTGTGTGTGAGTGTGTGTGTGAGTGTGTGTGGGGGGTATGTGAGTGTGTGTGTGTGTGTGTGTGAGTGTGTCACTGTCTAGAGAGGGACTGGTGAGGCTCAGAGGATGCAGTCTCCTTCCTTTGACAGTGCTGTGGGCACAGTGCTGTGTATATAACCATTGCCCTGGGTGACTCCTGTGCCCTGCACTCCCCAGCTTCCTCTGCTGAGAACTGTTTTCTGTCCATACACCTGTTCTCTGAAGAGCCAATGAAGTCAGAGAAGACGTACTTCAGGACTGAGGGGTCTGTAGTTTGTAGGCCTCCAGATCATAGATGCAGAAGGCTCAAAGGCAGCCAAGGCAGTTGCAACGCTGCTCAAGCCAGGATGCAACTGACCAGAGCTGAGTGAGGCTATCTGCCTGGCCTGCTTCCTGACTCTTCCTTGGAGCAATCAGACTTTCAGCTACCTGTACCCACATGTTAGCCTGTTAAGCCAGACATTTGCTGAACAACATAAAGGCATGTCAAAGCCATGCCTTCAGTGGCTCCCACTGGCTTTTCCCTGGGATTCGGAGAAGATAAGGCAATCTGTAGTTGAGTAGAGTAGAACATCCAACAGTGCTGTGGCAAGTCCAGATCTGCACTTAGGTGCCCCACCCAGAGCTTTCATCTGGATTCTTTAGTCTGGCTGTGACAGTCCCAGAAAGTCATGGGTCGTGCAGTTTTTCCCAATCCTGTAGGGAACATCAGTATAATAACAGCACTCCAGGCTCTTCAAACAGAGGATGATATTAGCCCAGGAAGAGAACAAGCATCACTCTCATCAGAGCAATGTTGGGAATTCCTGGCTGGGATGCTGTGGCTCTAATTTGCAAAGAGAACTAAAAGGTGATCTATAACTGTGAATATGCTGTGATTTTAGAGGAGTAGTTCTCTTCAGATTTAGGTCTAAAATTCACCCTGAAAGGACACTGGGGCCCAGTCAATGTGAGCATCCTAGCCAATGACTATGACTTTGTGCACACTAAGTGGCCAGTTCTCAGAAGAGTTCTGTCTTGCACTATGAAGGTCCTCATGGCTTCCAACTGCCTTGTAACCACTGACCACCGCTGCTAGCTTTCAGCCATGCCAATTCTCAGTGCTAAAACCTAGGTGGTTCTTTCTGGCTCAAGACCCAAAGCCTTACCCTTCCCATAACTTCTTGACCCTGTCCATGTAGATTTTATATGGTCTGAGACACAAAATCAAAACCATGCTATTTCCTTCTCTTCTCCCTCTTCCTTACCATTCTCCTCCTGACCCCATTCCCTACCCTGGGCCCTCAATGCACAGTTCTAGACACTATCTACCCAAACAAATTCAGTGGCTCCTTTCTCTATGGTAAATCATCTCTTAAACTCATGGTGGAGAACATAACAGTGGGGTTGCTAAAGCCCCCAGAAAATATCCCATACTCCTCTTCCCCACTCTTCATCCAGCACACACATAACCATACACGTGGAATAACTTTGCCCTAACAAGAAAAAGACAAGTGCCCCTTAAAACACAATCAGTAAAATTTATAGGCTAGAGATGGCTCAGTGGATAACAGTGCTTGCCATGAGAGCCTAACCCCTGAGTCTGATTCCTGGAACAAATGGGGAAGGAGAGAGCAGACTCTTGGAAGTTGTCCTTTAACCTTTCCATGTGCACCATGGCACATAACTGCACACACACTAAAGTTATGGACGTGGATTTGAATGTATGATTGTCTTCTGTAGGTGGAAGAAGGAGAATGTGGACACAGTCCCCAGAAGAACCCCACAAGGCAGGTGTCCCTGGACTCCGTACAAGGGTTGACAAAAGGTACACTACTTTTCTAGCAGAGAAGAATCGGAGGGGTGTAGATGGGAACACTGGTGTGCACATGGATACAAGTGCTGGAGGAGAAGCGAAGGCCCTCATTACATAGATTTACCCACTGTAGCCAAAATAAAGCAAGGTGGCTCCTCTTTACACCAGGAAAAACTAAGGAAAGGGACCTCTGATAGGATGGCAGTAGGAGGTGAAAAATGCCAGTATCAAGGAAAAGAGCCTTCACATCTAAGCTCCTCCCTGAGAAGGACATGCTGGTCGCAGACATGGTAAAAAGACTAGTCTTTACTCACAGCTCCGGAAGCCTTGTGTGGGTGGCTAGCTGTATCTGGTGTGTTGCATTGATTGGCAGTGACATGCAAGCAAGCAGAATGTCACCAGTGTTTTCTTTCTAGAAGAAATTATTTGTGACTCATTGTATTTTAACACAAATGATTTTTTTCTTTATGAATTTGATGGGCTAGGGCCATCAAAAAAAGCCCAGTTATTCTACCATATGGGAAATTCACCAACACAGGCTAAGCCTTTTTCCCTTCTTACAGGAAGCAAAGTTAGTCATTATATGAAAAGTCCCCTGTCTGCGTCTCACAATGCATTTAGCTTTTAAGTTTGAACTCTAGCTGCTCAGAAAAGACTTACTCTTTGGCCCCAACTGTGCCTTGGCTAAGCAGACAGGAATGGACATCCAGCCATCCACACTTAATTGAAACTTACATGAATCCACTCAAATTCATTTCTATCCTGTTTGGAAAAGCTCAAGAAAGCCAAGATGATTGCAGGATGCAGGCAGAAGCAAAAAGCAGAGCGTGCTGAGGTCTGAAGGCAGAGCCTAGCTGCCTTTGGCAGAGTTAGCTCTCTGTGATCTGAGACCTCTCAGTGTCTTCCATGGGAAGTACACTTGGAAACTGTCATTTTCTGCTTTATGTGGTTTGGGTCTTAGCACCTTCAGGTCTGGGAGAAGGGCCTTTCCTTCCCAGCCCCCAGCCACAGGTGTATTTAAAACTCTTGATGTTGGATTAGCCAGTGTTTATTTGATATAGGCCTCTAATGAACAGAGAAAATAGGCTCTGTCCCATTTCCATCTGATAGCTTGTTTTGTAAAATTCTTCTTCTAGGTCTAAAGGAGAAAGAGGTCTCCCCAAAGAGACTGCAGATCCTTCTGGTGGGGAAAACAGGAAGTGGGAAAAGTGCAACAGGAAATAGCATCCTTGGCAGGCAAGTATTTGAGTCCAAAATCAGCGCTAGACCAGTGACCAGGACCTTCCAGAAGGGGAGTAGAGAGTGGGCTGGAAAGGAGCTTGAGGTGATCGACACCCCAGACATTTTGTCACCTCAGGACAAACCTGAGGTAGCAGCTGAAAAGATCTGTGGAGTCTTGGCCTCTCCGGGGCCCCATGTTGTGCTCCTGGTGATTCAGGTGGGCAGGTACACTGCAGAAGACCAGGAAGCTGCCAGGCGCCTCCAGGAGATCTTTGGAAAAGGGATCCTGGCTTACACCATTCTGGTGTTCACTCGGAAGGAAGACCTGGACGAGGGCTCGTTGGAAGAATATATCCAAGAGAACAACAATAAGAGCCTGGATGATCTGGATGTTGCATGTGAGAGGCGACACTGTGCCTTCAACAACAGGGCACGAGGGCATGAGCAGGAGAAACAACTGAAGGACCTTATGGAGAAAATTGAAATTATCTTGTGGGAAAATGAGGGCCACTGTTACACCACAGAACTTCCAAATGTTTCCAGCAAAACAGTTTAACCACAGAGCAAGGTTTGAGGAGGAATCCCTCAAGAACTCCTGGCTGGAAAGGCTGTCCCAGATCCAGATGGCCTCTGAGAAGACCTGAAGGTACCTGATAGGGAGGGCATCCATACAAGCGCAGACTGGCCATAAGCAGGAGTGTCTTAGTGAAGAGACACTATGACCATGGCAACTCCTACAAAAGAAAGCATTTAGTTAGGGCTTGCTTACAGTTGCATGGCAGGGAGCATGGCAGGGAGCATGGCGGCAGGCAGGCAGACCTGGTGCTGGAGAAGGAGCTGAGGGTTCTACATCCCCATCCACAGGCAGCAGGAAGGGGGAGACTCTGGGTTTGGAATGGGCTTTTTGAAATCCCACCCCCAGTGACATCCTTCCTTAAACAAGGCCACACCTCCTAATCCTGTCAAATAGTGCTACTCCCTGATGACCAAGTATTCAAATCTGTGAGCCTATGGGGATCGTTCTCACTCAAACCAGCACAAGAACATTCCACCAGCAGCTGCACCCTGTGTCCAGCCCTTGTTGCCTGCTCCCTGGTCAGATGCGGCAGTGGGGTGAGGCCTCAGTTCAGGGATCCCAGGTGCATTCTGTGTCCAGATACATAGCTTCTTTCTGAGCACATGGGCACAGTGCCCTGACAGGGGAGCTTCTGTGTAGCCAGCCCCTAATGTTATATCTTCTTATATTTTACCTTTATGATGGTTAATTTTGGATACTTTAAACTGTTAAGTTTTAATCCTCTTTTAGACTAAAAGGGGAATTGTAGGGGAAGCTGTAGCCACGCCTACTTAGGGGCTGGCTACAGGTGTGCTTGACCACGCTTGCGAGGGTGTGGTCAGGGTGACATAGAGCGATACTGGGATGGGACTGCATGCTCTCTTTCAGTTTCACTTTTGGGCTTGCGTACAGTCTGCTGCCAGGCCAGCTGGCTAGGTCGCTCTGTAAGTAAGGCTTTTCCCTATTAAATACCCTTGTATTTCCACCTGACTCCATATTGGTAATTTCCCACTATACTTCTGTCCCCCTGATGTCACATTTTTACGTTTTGTGTCTAATCTCTGATACAACCAAAGATTCTTGCCATTGTCTGGCTCTTTCTTTCATGTAAGTCGCATAGCTGCCTAGCAAAGGTCATCAGGAATGAATCTAACATTTCTTTAGCTTCTTCCTTACCCATAAAGGGGACAGACATTAAGGTGCCTGCCCCATGTAGTAGGTAGAAAATGACAAGGAGAGAATAGAGAGGTGTAGACCATCAGTTAGGTTTTCCTTCCACAGAGTGGGGTGTTTTAGATTTTGTTCTATAACCATGTTCTAAGCTTTTGAGAGACTTTGCTGCAATGACCACATGAGCACAATGACTCATTCCAAACCATATGTGTCCTTCCTGGGATGAGGAGGAGGCAGTGCCTCCTTCATCACTTGTGAGCTAAGCACAATTGGACCGAATGCATAGGAGCAGACCACCATCAAGTGCAAACCTTGCAACAGAGCTGAAGGCATACTGGACGTGGCAGAGGTCCCGAGGAGACGAAAATCTGAGGGAGCCAACCCAGAACCTCAGTACTGTCAGTACACAGTACTGTCTCCCCTGTGCTCCACCATATACCCCCAATAAAGCCTTGGTCAATTGGTACCACTTGCCTCTTTATGATTTTTGTACGATTTGGGAAAAGAAGCTTATTTGTAACCACATGGCACGATGTATCCTGGGCTATGGAAGAATGGGAATAGGAACCTAGAGAGAGGTTAGATAGATAGATAGATAGATAGATAGATACATAGATACATAGATACATAGATACATAGATAGATACATAGATAAAATAAAAATGGCACCAGCAGGTCTGATGGGCACTTCCTAAGGGACAGAATGAGTGGAGCTGGGGTAAGAACGGAAGAAGGAAGCCCTGGTCTAAGGGAACCTTACCCTGAGACTATGGGATATGGGGTGTCTCCATCTGCATGGACTTGGGCACAAAAGGCCAATACTCCTGCCCCATGAGGCTGAGAATGGTTAGGTCACTCTTGTTACCTCCCCTTTTTCCTTGGGTTTCATCACCCAGTGTTAGAGCTTTGGGGATATTGGAGAGCAAAGGATATTTTCATACTTCCATGAGCCTCCTTTTTCTTGGTAGGTGTGTGGATGGGGTGAAGGGAGGGCCTACATCTGTAAATCAGCTCGGCAGGGAGACCGTTTGGAAGGGTGAACTGAAAGAAAGGCGTCTTTGAAAGAAGGGAACCTGCAAAAGAAGGCTAGGTGCTTAGACAGCATGCATGACAGGAACCTGGTTTCCACAAGAACTCTTCAACACAGGGATGTCTTCCTGGAGAGAGGCTCCTACAGAGAAGGTGTAACCAACAAAAGAAAGAAACAGGACATTGGCTCAGACCTCTTAAAGGAAGTAGTTTAGGCAAATGTTCAAGCTGCTGTGCCTCAGATGCACCTGAGCATCTGTGAGATTCAGGAAAGGTCCTGGGAGTGTGACCAGCTGACGGGACGCTAACGGTAGGAAGGCGGGGACAGACTCCAGATACCTTCCAGGGACGTCCCTACCAATCCTTCCCACTTCAGCTGTGCAGCAGAGACTGAATTCTCTTCCCCACAGAGGGTTGGGAAATGGGGTTTTAGGGACTGAGTGGGGACTGTCAGGACCCAGAAGATGTGGCCTCGGGTCCTGCTAGCTGCTTATCTGCAGGCCTGAGTCCAGTCTCCTCCGTCTGCCTGGAAAGAAAAAACTCCTAACCTCCCTTGCGCAGGCAGAAATGTCATAAATCCCTTCTTTGGACAATGGCAGGCACGGCCCTGGTTTGGAATGTCCCTGGGAAGTTCCTGATGATGTGACTGCACTTCCTTGTATTGTTCTGACTTCCCCAAACAGGAAACAGCCTGTTTCCTCAGCCCTGGTTCCCAGGAGCCAGATGTGACCAAGGCTTTTCCTCCTTAATTCCTCCTTCCGCCCCGAGGTAACCTCAGCACTGAGAGCTGGGCACAGCTGACCATGCATCTTGATATCCCCAGACTGGATCGTCTACCCGAAACAAGAGTCTTTATTAAAGATAAGCCTGGCATTTTGTAATAATATTCCAGGGTACGATGGATCTATAGGTACTGTGGATCTATAGTAATATATTCCCTTACTGAGCAGGGAGGAAAAGAGCAGTCCTGAGCAAAGAGAATGTGCTCTGTAGTCTCACCAGTGAAAGTGCTCATTCAGGTAATGACTGCTGCAGGACACACTGACAAAATGTGAAGGAGACAGACGATGGCCTGCAGTTATGCCTAAAGTCCTGCTGTGCCATCCATAGCCTCTCTGGGAATAAGGCTTTGAAGGAGCTTAAAAGGAGCCGCTGTCAGTCAGAGGTGCCTGGAAAGAATGTAACCTCATGGGCAGCAACCTGAGTGGCAGCATTAATCGTGGACTAGGATTGGGATACCAAGAGAAAGTTGAACATGTTTCTTTTCTAAAAAATTATTCTTTCACAGTGTTCACCCACTGCATTTGGCAGCAGATTACAAGCCAACATTTGGCACTGTTTAAATCAATACAATCTGACCTGTTGAGCAGCTCTATATGGTGGTGATGGGCATTCTCTGCAGCACTATATGGTGGTCTGGTCTCAGGCTTTCTCTGAGTAGAGCTTAGATAGACCGCCATCTATCCTGCAGTTCTCTGTGTAGGTTCTACGGTAGAATGGACTCTTCAGACCACATTCTGCCCCTCTCCAGTCAGGCTCCTTGTGTGCAGGCCCTGAGAAGTCAACATGGAGGTCTCAGCTGAGGTAATCAATGTCTGTTTCTCAGCTCCTCATGTGTTACAACTGCTCTAAAATTCCCTGAGGCGTGTGGGGATTGCTCCCCATCAACCCAGGCATATCACATTGATATTGTTTGGCTGCCCCTCAAGAGATAATTCACTACAGTGACTTTGCAATCAAAGGGGCTGAATTCAGCGCGGCAAAGGGGGGCTCTGAGCCTATATGGGGGGGAATATAAGCAACATCAGCCATGCTTCCCTCCCTACTCGGCAACTTCTAGCCTCTGAGTCACAAAGAGAAGCAGGAAAACAGGGCCGTTTCTTACCAAGCTGAAGGAAGTGCAGAAACCCACAATACTTCTGCTTATGCTTCTTGGTCATAGGGCTGCTGCTAGCCGCAGGAAACCCTGTGGAATGCATTACTCATGTGGACACTTTGCTTTCTAGCAATGGTGTAGGTCTGTTAATAGGGAAGGAGCAAATGGTAGCAATGACAGAACACTAGTACAATGGGTGCCTAGCAGGTGACTTTCCCCCTGCTCCTCACTGTGGAGCTGGTGCAGTCTCATTCTTACAGTGATCCACTGTAGTCTTGTTAATTCTACATAGGAACCAAAGATGGGTCAAGAAATAAACCCTCAGAGGGTGGTGAGTCTGGTTCCAAACCACACCGAGATTCTTACTGGCCAAACTCCTACATAGAGACACCCTGGATAGAGAGAAATCAACCAATCCTAGAGAAAATGAAGGTGTTTGGGTTCTTGAAATAAGGAAATACACTCAGAGACATCTCCCATTGAGTGCTTTGATTCAGACCAGAGCTCAAGGGGTTAGAAGAGCTGGAGTCCCTGTGAGCTTTCATTTCCTGGAGCAACACCAGAAAGACTACATTTGAGGTATATGTTTAATTTATTCTGTTGCTTTAGCCTTTTCGTCTTTTCCTTGTGGGATGAGGGCTGTTCCTATACCAACTGCCTACAGTTCCTCTGTATCAGATGTTACCACCTAGTGAGGGAATCTGAGTGGTGTTAGTGACAGTAATTGGAAAAGCCATAACAGAAACAATCCATTCTAAACAAGATGCCCACATGAAGAAGGCTGTCATCTTTTGTTAAATTTGCATTAATATTTTGCATTAATGTTAGAAGATGATCACTGCTGTATACTTTCTGTGTATTTTTATAAAGTGAGGATTGCATTTCACAAAAATTGCATTCCATC